TGATGTCTTCACTATTATTCTACAATGTAGAAAATAGTAAAAATAAAGAAAAACCCTTGAATGAGTAGGTGTGTCAAAACTTTTGACTGGTACTGTATATAAATATGATATTTCAGTTGTTGTTTTTTTATACATTTGCAAAAATTTCTAAAACCTGTTTTTGCTTTGTCATTATGGGGTATTGTGTGTAGGAATGGAAAAAAAACTATTTTATCCATTTTAGAATCAGGCTGTAACGTAACAAAATGTGGAAAAAGTGAAGGGGTCTGAATACTTTCCGAATGCACTGTAGCTATAGAAAGTACACTATATAATGAAACACTCCCTAGTAAGCTAGTGTTTTGAGGGTGGACTGACTGTATTATTTGGCATTAATAGACTGTTTTTACAGACAACTTTCTATTCAAGATGGGAGAGAGCGTGAGGACGGCTCATGTCATGCAGGTTCAGGTAGCCTGTACAGGACAGTTGTGTATATATATAAAAACATTAACTGGTAGCTGATTAGTATGCTGTTGCATCAAACATTTATTTTACAATCTGCAATGTTTGAATTTCCAACTTTAATTACTGAACAAGTAATTACATTATTGCCACCAGCCAGCAGTCTAAAAATGGCAGCATTGCTACACCGTGTATAGCTTTGTGAAATGTTAGGCTTAACATGAGAAAATGACAACCAAATAAGCCTACTAATAAACATTGATCCATTAGAGGCTCCCGAGTGGCGCAGCGGTCTAAGGCACTGCATCTCAGTGCTTGAGGCGTCACTACAGACCCCCTGGTTTGATTCCAGGCTGTATCACAACCGGCCGTGATTGGGAGTCCAATAGGGCGGCGCACAATTGGCCCAGCATTGTCTGGGTTTGGCCGGTGTAGGCCGTCATTGGAAATAAGAATTTGTTCTTAACTGACTTGCCTAGTTAAATAAAAAATAAATTGGCTAAAGCTAAGCCCTGGCACCAGAGAAAGCCTACAGTGCCTTCAGAAAGTATTCATACCCCTTGAATTATTCCACATTTTGTTGTGTTACAGCCTGAATTAAAAATGTATGCAATCGATTTTTTCTCACCCATCTACACACAATACCCCATAATGATAGTGAAAACATGTTTTTAGAAATATTTGAAAATGTATTGTAAATGAAATACAGAAATATCTCATTTACATAAGTGTTCACGCCCCTGAGTCAATACATGTTAGAATCACCTTTGGCAGCGATTACAGCTGAGTCTTTCTAGGTAAGTCTCGAAGAGCTTTGCACACCTGGATTGTAAAATATTAGCACATTATTCTTAAAAATATTATTCAAACTCCGTCAAGTTGGTTGTTGATCATTGCTAAACAGCCATTTTCAAGTCTTGCCATAGATTTTCAAGACGATTTAAGTCAAAACTGTAACTAGGCCAAACAGGAACATTCAATGTTGTCTTGGCAAGCAACTCCAGTGTATATTTGGCCTTGTGTTTTAGGTCATTGTCCTGCTGAAAGGGGAATTTGTCTCCCAGTGTCTGTTGGAAAGCAGACTGAACCAGGTTTCCTCTACGATTTTGCCAGTGCTTAGCTCTCTTCCGTACTTTTTTATCCTAAAAAAACCTCCCTAGTCCTTGAAAATGACAAGCATTCCCATAACATGATGCAGCCACCACCATGCTTGAAAATAAAAGAGTGGTACTCAGCGATGTTAAACATTTTTATTTAACCTTTATTTTATCAGGGAGTTATACTGAGACCAATGACTCTTTTACAGATGAGCCCTGAATTAAATAAATTACAGAAAGTACACTAATCAATATAAATACCAAATGCAAGCAGAGAGAACAACATGGTCATAAAAAACGAACACATTAATCAGTAATAAGGTCCTCAATCAGCCTTCTAAATTGCCCTAGAGGGACCAAAACATCACATTTAAGAACATTTTCAAGATTGTTCCACAGATAAGGTGCAAGAAAACTAAAAGCTGATTTACGTAACTCAGTAATGTATCAACCTACGTGACATCAAAGAGGGCAAACCAACTTTCTGGTAGAGAATGCAGTGATGAGTACTAAAACTGTCACACGTAATAAAGCGCAGTGCGCTATGATAAACAGCATCTAACGGCTTTAATGAAGTGGTAACTGCATTCATTTAAATGATGTCGCCATAGTATAGGATCTATAGGAACAATAGCAACGGAATAATCTGCTTTGTACTATTTCCTTACTAATTAGTGACCTTAATTCATCAATCAAGTACAAGGGAGGAGCGAAAATCCGCAGAAACTCGGCCCTCCGTGGAATTAGTTTGACACGTGCTCTATATCTTGAGTCAGAAGCCACTGGGAGCACTTTGAGAAACCATGTGACTAAACTGAATAAAAAGGAGAAGAAACTACACTATGAAACAAAGATAAATGACAAAGAATACCAGTAAAAAGTTTTGGAGCACCTTAAATTAAATGTTGGGCAAAAAGGCAAACTCTGCTCCATCATTCATTGAATCAGATGGCTCATTCATCACAAAACCCACTGATATTGCCAACTACTTTAAGGATTTTTTCATTGGCAAGATTAGCAAACTCAGGCATGACATGCCAGCAACAAAAGCTGACACTACACATCCAAGTATATCTGACCAAATTATGAAAGACAAGCGTTGTAATTTGAATTCCGTAAAGTAAGTGTGGAAGAGGTGTAAAAAATGATTGTCTATCAACAATGACAAGCCACCGGGGTCTGACAACTTGGATTGAAAATTACTGAGAATAATAGCGGACGATATTGCCACTCCTATTTGCCATATCTTCAATTTAAGCCTACTAGAAAGTGTGTGCCCTCAGGCCTGGAGGGAAGCAAAAGTCATTCCCCTACCTAAAAATAGTAAAGCCCCCTTTACTGGCTCAAATAGCCGACCAATCAGCCTGTTACCAACCCTTCGTAAACTTTTGGAAACTATTGTTTGACCAGATACAATGCTATTTTACAGTAAACTAATTGACAAGACTTTCAACACGCTTATAGGGAAGGACATTCAACAAGCACAGCACTTACACAAATGACTGATGATTGGCTGAGAGAAATTGATGATAAAAAGATTGTGGAGGCTGTTTTGTTAGACTTCAGTGCGGCTTTTGACATTATCGATCATAGTCTGCTGCTGGAAAAACGTATGTGTTGTGGATAAAGAGTTACCTGTAACAGAACACAGAGGGTGTTCTTTAATGGAAGCCTATCCAACATAATCCAGGTAGAATCAGGAATTCCCTAGGGCAGCTGTCTAGGCCCCTTACTTTTTTCAATCTTTACTAACGACATGCGTAAAGCAAGTGTGTCTATGTATGCGGAAGACTCAACACTATACAAGTCAGCTATTACAGTGACTGAAATACTTAACAAAGAGCTGCAGTTAGTTTCAGAATGGGGTGGCAAGGAATAAGTTTGTCCTAAATATTTCAAAAACTAAAAGCATTGTATTTGGGACAAATCATTCACTAAACCTCAACTAAATCTCGTAATGAATAATGTGGAAATTGAGCAAGTTGAGGTGACTAAACTGCTTGGAGTAATCCTGGATTGTAAACTGTTATGGTCAAAACATATTGATACAACAGTAGCCAAGATGGGGAGAAGTCTGTCCATAATAAAGCGCAGCCCTGCCTTCTTAACAGCACTATCAACAAGGCAGGTCCTATAGGCACTAGTTTTGTCGCACCTGGACTACTGTTCAGTCGTGTGGTCAGGTGCCACAAAGAGGGATTTAGGACAATTACAATTGGCTCAGGACAGGGCAGCACGGCTGGCCCTTAGATGTACACAGAGAGCTAACAATAATATGCATGTCACTCTCCTGGCTCAAAGTGGAGGAGAGATTGACTTCATCACTACTTGTATTTGTGAGAGGTATTGACATGTTTAATGCACCAAGCTGTCTGTTTGAACTACTGGCACACAGCTCGGACACCCATGCATAACCCACAAGACATGCCACCAGAGGTCTCTTCACAGTCCCCAAGTCCAGAATAGACTATGGGAGGCGCACAGTACTACATAGAGCCTTGACTACATGGAACTCTATTCCACATCAAGTAACTCATCCAAGCAGTGGAACAGCGGGGACTGTGAAGCAACACAAATATAGGCACAGACACATGCATACAAAACACACAATAACATACGCACTATACACACGGATTTTGTGTTGTAGATATGTGGTAGTATAGTAGGGGCCTGAGGGCACACAATGTGTTGTGAATGAATTGTAATGTTTTTAAAATTGTATAACTGCCTTAATTTTGCTGGACCCAAGGAAGAGTAGCTGCTGCCTTGGCAGCTGCTAATGGGGATCCATAATAAATACAAAATATTTTACCAGACTGAAGATATTGGAATCTGTAAAAACAATCTGGATTGAAGATTCGATAATGACGGATTTATCGCATGGCTAGACATGAGCCACTTATAGATATATTACGATACATATAGGAACATTGCCAAACACTTGGATCTGGATTTTTGTTTTTGTAAAATGACAAATGAGGCAAACTAGAATCTAGCTTTAATAAAAACTTTATTACAAGATAGCATACGTCAAGGGTTTTATTTGATAGTTATTGGATAAAACAGCAGAAATTGGAATGTTAACTCTGACTTGGCTTGCGTAGGATAGTGACAAGGCCAGCGGTCACAGCAACTGTAACTGGACCTGTCCAACATCAGTCACTTTTCAGTCTTAATCCATTGACACTCAGCCATAAAGAATAGAAGGCTATGGATATCATATTACACCAAGTACAGCATGGGCTTTACAGCACGACCTCCACATCAGACTGGATGCACTTCATTCAACAATCATCAATATCACGGGGGACCACGAGGAAAAGCATAAGTCCGAACAGCACAGTAATTCAATTGACTTTTAGTTCGATAGGACTTTCACCTCAAACATCAATTCACTTTGCAATATGTTAAAACCTGGGGACATAAAGTGTCTCAGAGTAGGAGTGCTGATCTAGGATCAGGTCCCCAGTCTATATAACCACATTCATTATGATCTAAAAGGCTAAGCTGATCCTAGATCAGCACTCCTACTCTGAGACACTTTACAGGTCCAGTATTCATATAGGCACATACAGTAAAAAACACCAAGGTATGTCTCCTTCATTGGTTCAGGGCTACAGGATGACTGGGAAGGTCACAGTGTCATGTATTTCAGTGATAACCAGTCGTTTCAACACAACACCACTTCAGACAGGGGAAAGAGCTGTGTGCAAGGGAGTAGGAGAAAGAACACGGTAAATGAATCCTAGCAATATACGGAAACATATTTTTGCTGCTTTTCAAAGACTGTTTAAACAATATCTTTAAACAATACACAATCTTTAAAGAATCATCCAACATTGGCATGACAACCATTAGAGAAAAAAAAAATACAGTTTTAACTGTATGGCTCCACGAAAGACAGAAGAGAGCTGCTAACTTTCACAATAAGTTGGTCTTTCCCACTCGTAACGCGGAGCCACAGTAACTAACATGATCGACCGTTAATGAGCGATTTTAGCAGAGGCCGAGTGGAAAGCCTTGGCTATGACAGTACTGAAAAGCAGCAGCTTTTGGCTTTCTCAACAGCAAAAAAAAAAAACTATGTCTCTATAATAAAAGCATTCCCCTGGTTAAAGGAGTTCTTCTTCATTTGGTGACTAACTGGCATGGTCCATTCCAATAGAATGGAACAAATGAATAATGAGCAATATGGAATATTAGAAAGAAAATGTGTGTAAATATAAAAATGTAATACTGCTTATATAAAAATAAAGAAAAAATAAAAGAAAACTCAAAATCATCCCAAGTAGGAGTGAAATAAACTAAATATAGTGGCAAGCAGTATGAGGACCAGTTATCTTTCTCTTGTTTTCGCACCCTTCTCTCCTGCAATCCCTCCATCCATCTCTGGTCAAGCTCAAATAACAGCTTGAAAACCTGTAGGGAAATACAAAAGTGATACATAAGGACTTGTACTTCCTAATGTTGGATTTATATGAACACTCAAAGACTAAAAGGGACCAATAATTCTGATTGAGTACATCTGATATATACTAAACAGTGTTGGTCCCATGTTTCAAGAGCTGAAATAAAAGATCCCAGACATTTTCCATATGCACAAAAAGCTAATTTCTCTTAAATTATGTGCACAAATTTGTTTAAATCCTTGTTAGTGAGCATTTCTCCTTTGCCAAGATAATCCATCCACCTGACACCTCAAGTTGAGGGAGAGTGCAATTGGCATGTTGACTGCAGGAATGTCCAATAGAGCTGTTGCCAGATAATTTAATGTTAATTTCTCTAACGTCGTTTTAGAGAATTTGGCAGTATGTCCAACCGGCCTCACAACCGCAGACCACGTGTAATCATGCCAGCCCAGGACCTCCACATCTGGCTTCGTCACCTGCGTGATCTTCTGAGGAGCATTTCTATCGGTAATAAAGGTACACTGCTCAAAAAAATAAAGGGAACACTAAAATAACACATCCTAGATCTGAATGAATGAAATAATCTTATTAAATACTTTTTTCTTTACATAGTTGAATGTGCTGACAACAAAATCACACAAAAATTATCAATGGAAATCAAATTTATCAACCCATGGAGGTCTGGATTTGGAGTCACCCTCAAAATTAAAGTGGAAAACCACACTACAGACTGATCCAACTTTGATGTAATGTCCTTAAAACAAGTCAAAATGAGGCTCAGTAGTGTGTGTGGCCTCCACGTGCCTGTATGACCTCCCTACAACGCCTGGGCATGCTCCTGATGAGGTGGCGGATGGTCTCCTGAGGGATCTCCTCCCAGACCTGGACTAAAGCATCCTCCAACTCCTGGACAGTCTGTGGTGCAACGTGGCGTTGGTGGATGGAGCGAGACATGATGTCCCAGATGTGCTCAATTGGATTCAGGTCTGGGGAACGGGCGGGCCAGTCCATAGCATCAATGCCTTCCTCTTGCAGGAACTGCTGACACACTCCAGCAGGAACTGCTGACACACTCCAGCCACATGAGGTCTAGCATTGTCTTGCATTAGGAGGAATCCAGGGCCAACCGCACCAGCATATGGTCTCACAAGGGGTCTGAGGATCTCATCTCGGTACCTAATGGCAGTCAGGCTACCTCTGGCGAGCACATGGAGGGCTGTGCAGCCCCCCAAAGAAATGCCACCCCACACCATGACTGACCCACCGCCAAACCGGTCATGCTGGAGGATGTTGCAGGCAGCAGAACGTTCTCCACGGCGTCTCCAGACTCTGTCACGTCTGTCACATGTGCTCAGTGTGAACCTGCTTTCATCTGTGAAGAGCACAGGGCGCCAGTGGCGAATTTGCCAATCTTGGTGTTCTCTGGCAAATGCCAAACGTCCTGCACGGTGTTGAGCTGTAAGCACAACCCCCACCTGTGGACGTCGGGCCCTCATACCACCCTCATGGAGTCTGTTTCTGACTGTTTGAGCAGACACATGCACATTTGTGGCCTTTTGGAGGTCATTATGCAGGGCTCTGGCAGTGCTCCTCCTGCTCCTCCTTGCACAAAGGCGGAGGTAGCAGTCCTGCTGCTGGGTTGTTGCCCTCCTACGGACTCCTCCACGTCTCCTGATGTACTGGCCTGTCTCCTGGTAGCGCCTCCATGCTCTGGACACTACACTGACAGACACAGCAAACCTTCTTGCCACAGCTCGCATTGATGTGCCATCCTGGATGAGCTGCACTACCTGAGCCACTTGTGTGGGTTGTAGACTCCGTCTCATGTTACCACTAGAGTGAAAGCACCGCCAGCATTCAAAAGTGACCAAAACATCAGCCAGGAAGCATAGGAACTGAGAAGTGGTCTGTGGTCACCACCTGCAAAACCAGTCCTTTATTGGGTGTGTCTTGCTAATTGCCTATAATTTCCACCTGTTGTCTATTCCATTTGCACAACAGCATGTGAAATGTATTGTCAATCAGTGTTGCTTCCTAAGTGGACAGTTTGATTTCACAGAAGTGTGATTGACTTGGAGTTACATTGTGTGGTTTAAGTGTTCCCTTTATTTTTTTGAGCAGTGTATTTTGTGGGGAAAACCAATTCTGATTGGCTGGGCCTGGCTCCCCAGTGGGTGGGCCTGGCTACCAAGTGGGTGGGCCTATGCCCTCCTAGGCCCACCCATGGCTACGCCCCTGCCCAGTCATGTGAAATCCATAGATTAGGGCCTAATTAATTTATTTCAATTGACTGATTTCCTTCTATGAACAGTAACTCAGTAAAATCTTTGAAATTGATGCATGTTGCGTTTATATTTTTGTTCAGTCTAGTAAAACACGCAAGAGCGAATGTTAACCAGAAAAAAAAAAATACCCTCTCATCTGCCCAAAAAATAAATAACACAACCCTCCCCAAAGAAAAAATAATGTTTGTTAACCCTCCCCTACTTTGGACCACCCCAGCCCACCCCCAATAAACTGCAATCTGTGCAGTTTTGTGACAACACGATGCCACAGATGTCTCAAGTTTTGAGGGAGCATGCAATTGGCATGCTGACTGCAAGAATGTCCACCAGAGCTGTTGCCAGAGAATGTAATGTTCATTGCTCTACCATAACCTGCTTCCAATGTCGTTTTAGAGAATTTGGCAGTATGTCCAACCGGCCTCACAACCGCACACCACGTGTATGGCATTGTGGGCGAGCGGTTTGCGGATGTCAACGTTGTGAACAGAGTGCCCCATGGTGGCAATGGGGTTACAGTATGGGCAGGCATAAGCTATGGACTACGAACACAATTGCATTTTATCGATGGCAATTTGAATGCACAGAGATACTGTGACGAGATCCTGAGGCCCATTGTCGTGCCATTCATCCGCCCCCATCACCTCATGTTTCAGCATAATGCACAGCCCCATGTCGCAAGGATCTGTACACAATTCCTGGAAGCTGAAAATGTCCCAATTCTTCCATGGCCTGCATACTCACCAGACATGTCACCAATTGAGCATGTTTGGGTATCTGTGACCAACAGTTACATAACTGTATTCCCAATCATGTGAAATCCATAGATTAGGGCCTAATTAATTGATTTAAATTATTTCCTTATATGTACTGTAACTCAGTAAAATCTTTGAAATTGTTGCATGTTGCGTTTATATTTTTGTTCAGTATAGTAATACAAAATATATACCACCTAGCATACACTTTTATCCAAAGAGACTTACCGTAGAGCGAGTTCAAATATATTTGTATGTGTATTTTGATTACTACATGTGTTGAACCCACCTTGGCATTGCACACTCTTACCAACTGAGCCATATAGGTCCACAATATGCCAGTGTACATTTTACTTTTCATAGCATAGGTTTGCTGTGTTTAGTGTCAAAATGGACGTGTTGTTCTTACCGTGGTGGGTTTCACACATGCTGGCCGTCTCCCGCTCCATCAGGCTTAATCTGCATCTGGGCCTGCATCTTGGTAATCATCTCCTGCATTCTCCTCAGCTGCACAGAACAAAATAAACATAACATTACTACCAAATCTTTGAACACCGACTACTTGACTAAACCCTCTCCCCTCCTCAAAACAACCACCTGTATCACATGGAATAAACTTATTGCAGTCCAAGTACCGGTAAGAGTTTGGGTATAAGAGGTCCGGTGAGTGGGGTATTCAAGATGGTGTGATACTCCCATAAATGCGATATTTGAATGGAAGTATACAGTATAAGGGTAGTGTGAGTTGTAGGTAGTGAGAGAGGGATATTAATGATTAGCTATCCCACCTCAGCCTCCTTCTCCTGCAGGATCATGTCCTTATCCATTTCCTCCGGCTCCGGTCCCTTCCTGTAACACGGACACAGGTTTGTTGAGTTAGGCTCTTTAGGCTAAAGGCTCAATCATTGGGGAGACTTGGCATAAATATCCACATAAATGAACACTGGAAATCTCATACATTTCAAGTTATTATATAGTTTGTGCATTCAGAAGAAAATACAGTATTCAAAAGCATATCATTGTCATTCATAGAATCAGCAGAAAGGTGGAGGAGTGAAAACTCATGTGCATACGGGGTCTCTGGAAGAGAGTTTTGGTAGATCCCCAAGTCTGGTGGTTGTGTGTGTGTGTGTGTGTGTGTGGGGGGTGCAGTTTCTAGCTTTCTAGTATTTAAGCAGACGTGACGAAAGCAACACTTAGAAAGTCGAAAGAAGGGCCGGAGAGAAATTAGTGAGAGAGAAAAAACAGATTGGGGGAAATGTAGAAAGCTGGGTGCTAAAGTGAAAGAGGGCAAGCTGCAGAAGCAAGAAGAGAGCAGCAAGTGTAGGGGACGGGGGGGATAGTTGTACCTCCCCCATTGAAAACAGTACCTCCAGCAGTCCACTCAGAGGATTGGACCGACCAGACCACCATCATTGGGCTGATGGTGAGCCAATAGGAAGGCAGTAAAATCTCTCCCTTCTCCTGGATTGGCTATAGAGGAAGGTCTCAAAGAATCCAAAGGGTCCACACTCCTAGAGTCATATGACACCCATACTACTACAAATACAACCTATAACCAAACTATATACTGGTTTAAAACCCATAGCCCACTACAAAAATAAATAAATAACCAAGGTAAAAATAGCCCACGGACTATACATGCCTAACTCAAACCCACTACTAAGGTCAAATTGTTGTAGAATGTACATCCAAAATGATAGTTTTTCAACTTATTTAAAAACACGTTTTTTCCAACAATGTAATATTAATGAACACAATGGAGATTTACTTTCAATGCTGACGACCACCTAATCACTTCTTGACAGACATTAACCCAAGATAAGTGGAACTGGCTGACTGAGACACTGTATTAGTTACCAACCAATTGTCTTAGTCATTCAATTCTAAGGAAGTTAAGCCACACAAGTCTTGTGTTACAAATGTCTCAACATTGTATCAACATGCTCTGTTACATTCAGCTGTCTACGTGGCATTAAGTTTGTCTGAGTCTTTGGTTGTATATTATATTACTGCGTATGGGAAGTTTTGGGGGGAGGTAGGGTATAGAAAGTCAGGCAGACAGACAGGTACGTACGCAGGAGACAGAGGCAGAACGTAACCATGGGAGGACAACCTGCCGCCTCGTTTGAGGCGCTCTGAGCGGAAGTTCTCGTAGTGCAGGTCCTGGGTCACCTCCTGCAGGTCCTGCATGTGGGTGCTGTAGAAGGATAGGTATCCGTCAATCAATCAAGCACTAAACCAGTCGCTCAACTCAAGATAGTCATAAGCGAAACACCAAGCAGTTTGTGAGACGGGACAGTCACTGCTCACTACTGACATTTAATGGATTGAAACAACATATACAATTATACAACTGACACAGCTTTGTAGAAGACAAGCATTCAGCATGTTCAATATAAGAATATAATCCAAATCAACCATAAACACTCAATTAAATCGGCATTAGCCACTATTTCCGTTCGGGATTCTCAAGCTGCTATTCTATGCTGCTATTCAAGTCGAATATATGAAGAAACCAGAGCAGGCCCTCTCTCTCCCACCCACTCACATGAGCATGGTGCGCAGCTTGAGGAAGTCGTTGTGCTCGGGGTTCTCCACCTCCACCACGCCCCAGGGATACAGGCGACCCCGCACCTTCTTCCCCTTGGCCTCAATCTGCTGGTTGGAGCCCACCACCGCAAAGGGAATACTGGCCTAGAGGGAGGAGAGAGGAGACATTGATGGTCAAAACAGATAGCATGTTTGTGATTTTGGTGATTGCATACCATTCTGAGCTTATTTGTAAAGTTGTATGTTTTTTTTTAGTTGGAACTTCCAATGCTAGTAACTTTCAGGAACAGTAGTAAAAGTCTCAAAGAAACCATGCTCGATGTCAATTCTGATCGGCAAGATAATGTATGTACAGTGGGGTCCGAAATGATTGACACCCTTGTTAAAGATGACAGGGGAGATTAGCATGTCCTCGGGGTATGATCTTTGACCCTCTAACTTTCTCATTCATCATTATTCACCATTCATTCAGGATGATCCGTAATCATGGTAGCATCCACATTAATGTAGAAGTGTTCAGAAACATTCTATTCTTATTTACAATAAAAGTGACCACAAAATTACACAATAGATTACTGATCATTCATTTCTATTTGGCACAAAATAATCTGAAACACAACCAAAACGAACTGCAAAGAGTCACAAGCTTGATGTAGTCATGTGCTAGGAATATGGGACCAAATAATACACTTTTGACTACTTTATTTATCAGAATTTTTAGGTGTGTCAATAATTTTGACCCCTACCTTTTTGAGAGAAATAAGTATTACTTATTAAACAAAACCTCTTTCTCTGAGCAATTGTATTAGTATAAAATAATATAATTTCAGAGAAAAACAATAGCATACAATATAGCTCAGTATTTAAATTATTTATTTTATACAGTTATTATGGCAAATTTTTAATCAAGGGTGCCAATAATTTCAGACCCCACTATATGTGGAAATGACAATTGAGGTTCAGAATCCTTAGGTAGGCAGGCCCAATTCTAGAAAAGGAGGTGGGGATTACTTTGAGAATCCTTGTCTGCTCCTTGAAGTCTTCGTCCTCGTCAGACTCTGCGTCGGGGAGGTGGTAGATCTTGATGCCGTGCTCGTCAATCTCATCCAGAATCTACAGCCACACACAGGAATATGGAGGATGTACACATCATTTTGGCTATTTACTTTAGCTGCGCTTTAACTATTGAATTGAATATACAGTACTTTATTAAATCCACAGAGGGATTCTTTTTTTAACAATACAGGCACGCGGTGCAGTCCATTGGTGCAGTTGTATCATATGAAAGGAAGACCACAACATTTACATCCCTTGTGTGAGATTACTTAAAATGTTCTCCTATTGTATACTTTTGAGAGTCAGGTTGAGCTATAATGTCTCCTACCCTGCGCTTGAGCCTCTCCCTCTCTCTCAGGGTGAGTGTGTCGGCCTTGGCGATGACAGGAACCACGTTGACTTTGTTGTGGATGGCCTTCATGAACTGTACATCCAGAGGCTTCAGCCTGAGAGAGAAAGGGAGAGCGAGAGCGAGTAAAATAACTGGAAAGTCCACAGGGGGGGTACTCATTTAAAGTCATTAAGTCAAGGTTAATTAAAAGTGCATGTTGAAAATGTGTGTATACCCATGGCCCAGCGGGGAGATGAAGTAGAAGCAGCAGTGAACACGGTTGTCCACGATGTGCCGTCGGTTCAGACCGCTCTCGTCGTGGAGGTAGCGCTCAAACTGGTCATCGATGTAGGCGATGATGGTGCTGAAACTGGAGGAGAAACAAGAAGCAGTGGCCATTAGAAAAGCCATATAACACTGTATGACATGGGTAGAGCAATGGGAACTGACATTTTAGTTACAGGGGTGTCGTCTGCCAAGTCCAGAAACTCATGCAAAGCTAAAACGTTTAAAAAGCGAACTATCCCTTTAAATGTTAGAAAATGTGTTTTTAAAACTATAAAGATTTCCCAAAAATTTTACTTCAACTATATTCCAACAATTTCCATGTTGGACAAAAGAGGTTGTGGACAGTGGCGTACCAGTCCTGGCTGTTGATGGCGTCGCCATATCCGGGTGTGTCCACCACGGTGAGGCGGAGCTTCACCCCTCTCTCCTCGATCTCAACCGTAGACGCCTCGATCTGAACCGTGCGCTCAATCTTCTCTGTGGGTCAAAATTAAAACCAGGGGGAGAGGAGCGAAAAGGTTGTGCTTTTCGAGATACTCGAGGCCACTGACTAAATGAGAGGGGATTTGGCGTAATTTGTTTTAAATGACTCCCATTAGGTTATGCGGGAAGAAATTCGGTTTTGATGATAGCGGAAAGTTTGGCCTTGGTGTGTGTGTATAACCATTACCTGCTGCTCCAGGGATCACTCTCTCTGGGTAGAGGTCCGTAAGGAACAGGCTATTGATGAGGGTGGACTTCCCCAGACCAGATTCCCCTAAAAAGAACACACAGAATCATCAATATAAAAACCATATCATCCTATCACAACCAAAGACACGATTAAAACCAAATAGAACAGACTATTGCGCCTGCATGGCAAAATACAGAATATATGGCAATATATATCTGTTCATAACGGATTACTTTTTTGTCTACGAACCACAAATACTACAAGAATCTACAATTAGATGTGTGCAGGGTGTTCCTTTTTCCACAAAATACCCAATATTGCCTGCTAGTTGGGCAACGGGCACAACTAGCCTGGACTCTGTATGCTAGCCAAGCATCTTCCTACACATTAGGCCTCTCATAGCCTGGGAAATGCATTAACCTCGCAGTAAAACAAGACACACACACACGGTCCTTAGTCCTAAATGCAAAAAGCTCAAGTGACGGTTCGCTGCTTCCCCAATCAAAAGCCCTGGATTAACACAGAGGTGCGCACTAAACTAAAGTCAGAGCTACCGCACACAAAAGGTCAATATAGGAACAAGGTGAACAATATAGGAACAAGGTGTAAACCTACTACACCGGTTCCGACACTCGATGCATGTGGCAGGGGCTACAGTCCATTACGGATTACAAAGGTAGACCTAGCCGTGATCTATCCAACGATGCCCCTCTACCAGACGAACTCAATGCATTTTATGCACGCTTTGACAAAAAACATCACCGAAACGTGCACGAGGGTCCCCGCTGTCCCAGATGACTAGGTGATCTCGCTTGCCGAGGCCGACATGACTGAGGTTTTTAACACTCCCAAAGCCATGGGGCCAGATGGTATTCCAGGGCACGTTCTCAGAGCATTCGCAGTCCAGCTGGCAGGCATCTTCAACCTCTCCTTGTCCCAGTCTGTAATCCCCACTTATCTCAAGCTGACCACCATCATTCCTGTTCCCAAGAACTCTTAAGGCTACCTGCCACAATGACTACCGCCCTGTAGCACTAACATCTGTAATCATGAAGTGCTTAGAAAAAGGTTGGTCATGGCACACATCACCTCCATCATCCCAGACCCACTCAATTTGCATACCACCCCAACAGATCTAGATGAAGCAATCTCAATTGCACTCCACACTGCGCTCTCCCACCTAGACAAGAGGAATTACTACGTGAGAATGCTGTTCATCGACTACAGCTTAGCGTGCAACAACATAGTGCCCTCCAAGCTCGTCACCAATGTCGGGACCCTAAGACTGAACACCTCCACCTGCAACTGGAGGGAGGGTGTCAGAGAACTGGCAGTGTGGTGCCAGGGCAACAGGATCATGAACTACAGAAAACAGGGGGGTGCACACACCCCATCCACATCGACGGGCCGCAGTGGAGAGGGTTAACTGCTTCAAGTTCCTGTGTCCACGTCACTAAGGACTTAACATGGTCCTCTCACACCAGAACAGTCGGGAAGGCAAAGCAACACCTCTTCTACCTCAGGAGGCTGAAACGATTTGGCATGGCCCCTCAGATGGCATGGCAACTGCACCGCCCGCAACAGTAAGGCCTAACAGAGGGCGGTGCAGACACAGCACATCACTGTGGGTGAGCTCCTAGCCATTCAGGCCGTACATGCCAGGCGGTATCTGAGAAAGGTCTGAAAAAATGTCCAACGATTCCAGCCACCTGAGACATGGACTGTTCTCTATGCTCCCGTCCGGCAGGCAGTACTGGTGAATCAAGGCTCAGACAAACAGACTCCTAAACGGCTTCTATCCCCTGGCCATAAGACTGTTAAAGCGCTAACAACTACTGATCTCCCTCTCCCACAGACTATCCACACTGACTCTACGCCCATCCACCGGTCTCTACCCTCTCAGAAAACCTACGCTGCTGCGAAGATTATTATTGATTAGATGTATTACTCCATTACGCTACCGTCCACTGATTATTGATTGGCATTACCTTTAGTATTTATCCTGCTACTGGTCACTTTTACTCCTGTTTACGTGTAGAGCTGGGCGATATATCAAATTAATTTGAATATATGTTTTAGCGCGATGTTACAAATGCCTGTATCGCAAGAATCTAGGGTTGAATTTATGATGAGTGTTTGACTTTTTGGTCTCATCTCATTCGCTATTTCTGTGCACCTTACCACTCGCACAGACACCAAGCCCCTCTCCCTGCAACTCACAACAACGACGAAAGAGCATCTTCTTCATCTCTGACAACAAGCAGTTTCAACTCGCTATTTGCATTTCAGGTTTGGTCAAACAAAATCAGTCATATGGACACAGAAACATTATTTTACTGTAATAGAGGAGAACTTGACCTTTATAACGATACCCTTTTTATGTCTCAACTCCCAACATGTAAAACACAGCAGACCCTACTAAGATGGGAGTAACAATGAACATGATTGTGGAAAATGAATGCTCAGTTTGTCATGCACGGCATTGCGGTACCGCTATCAGCATTTTAGCCACACTTATGTGCTAGCTGTCTAGTCTGTGTTTGATGAATGTGCAATGAGCATAAAAATACATATTTACACAAGGAATTGGCAACTCGTTCTCATTCTGAGAAAAAAGCATCTTCTTACCAAGTTAGGCCACTTGATTTGAACACTGACACAATGCGAACAGGCTATGTGGTTTAAACAGTTAGACAGACAGGAGGGTGTATCCATAACAGTTAAACTGCTCTAGCTTGTTAGCAAGCAAATTGGCTAGCCTTTAAATATAAAGATTAGCTGGCTACTCACTAGCAGGTGGGCTTGTGCTTGAGAGATTGTAGTCAAATATTGGACTAAAAGGAACCTAACGTTACTCCTTAGTCCAAAGACCATACATATTCTGTTTAAAAGGGTGAATTGGCTCTGGAAGCCAAAACAGCCAAATACTCCATCTAAACGTGAATCGATTCTCAATTGCGGTACGGTTCTAGATACTTAAATCCCTTTACTTTTATATCACATCAAATTAATTTCAACGCAAAATACACACTTCTAGTTCACTGTTTTAACCAGTTAAGACAGTTGTAGCTGACAGTATTTTTCAGGTGACAACATATTTCTGGAGTCTGTCTTCTGTTTACACAGATAGCTAATTAGCACAGGTAGTCCACTCGGTCTTCCATCTGTTTTACATAAACTAGTGCTGTAACATGGCCGTGTGGGAACCCTAACCCTATAAAAAGGTGTGTAGCAATTTAACATTTTGTTTATAGACAATCATTTCTCGCCGATATTAAAAGATAAGGTTCTTATGCAAAACCGTACCGCAAGCATTGCGTGTTAATGTAACAAAACTCCTTCCTACACAAGACGCCATCGCCCAATGACTTTTATGTGTAATGTAGTGGAACTGAGAGTCATGATGAAGGGCTAGAGAGATTGTTTGAGACTTTTGTTTTGCAAATTTTTAAATAAAAAACAGAAATACCTTATTTACATAAGTATTCAGACTCTTTAATATGAGACTCGAATTTGAGCTCAGGGGCATTCTGTTTCCATCGATCATCCTTGAGATGTTTCTACAACTTGATTGGAGTCCACCTGTGGTAAATTAAATTGATTGGACATGATTTGGAAAGGCACACACCTGTCTGTCTATATAGGTCCCACAGTTGACAGTGCATGTCAGAGCATAAACCAAGCCATGAGGTCGAAGGAATTGTAGAGCTCCGAGACAGGATTGTGTCGAGGCACAGATCTGGGGAAGGGTACCAAAAAAACTCTGCAGCATTGAGGGTCCCTAAGAACAATTTAATAAAGGCTGTAACGTAACAAAATGTGGAAAAAGTCAAGGGGTCTGAATACTTTCAGAACGCCCTGTATATTACCATTATTATATTACCATACATATGTATATATTCCTCAACCACTCCAGTACTCCTACACATTGAATAAGGTTCTGGCACTGCAATGTACAGTACCAGTCAGCAGTTTGGACACACCAACTCATTCCAGGGTTTTTCTTTATAAAAAAAAAAAAAAGTACATTGTAGAATAATGGTGAAGACATCAAAACTATGAAATAACACATATGGAATCATGTAGTAACCAAAGTAGTGTTAAACAAATCAAAATGTTTTTCATATTTGAGATTCTTCAAAGTAGCCACCCTTTGCCTTGACGACAGCTTTGCACACTATTGGAATTCTCTCAACCAGATTCATGAGGTAGTCACCTGGAATACATTTCAATTAACGGGTGTGCCTTCTTAAAAGTTAATTTGTGGAATTTATTTCCTTCTTAATGCGTTTGAGCCAGTCAGTTGTGTTGTGACAAGGTAGGGGGGTGGTATACAGAAGATAGCCCTATTTGGTAAAAGACCAAGTCCATATTATGGCAAGAACAGCTCAAATAAGCAAATAGAAATGACAGTCCATCATTACTTTAAGACAGAAGGTCAGTCAATGCGGAACATTTCAAGAACTTTCTTCAAGTGCAGTCGCAAAAACCATCAAGCGCTATGATGAAAGTGCCTCTCATAAGAACCGCCACAGGAAAGGAAGACCCAGAGTTGCCTCTGCTGCAGAGGATAAGTTCATTAGAGTTACCAGCCTCAGAAATTGCAGCCGAAATAAGTGCTTCACAGAGTTCAAGTAACAGACACATCTCAACATCAACTGCTCAGAGGAGACTGCGTGAATCAGGCCTTCATGGTCGAATTGCTGCAAAGAAACCACTACTAAAGGACACCAATAAGAAGAAAAGACTTGCTTGGGCCAAGAAACACGAGCAATGGACATTAGACCGGTAGTCCAAATTGGAGATTTTTGGCTCCACCCGCTGTGTCTTTGTGAGACACAGTGTAGGTGAACGGATGATCTCTGCATGTGTGGTACCCACCGTGAAGCATGGAGGAGGAGGTGTGATGGTGCTTTGCTGGTGACACCGTCTGTGATTTATTTAGAATTCAAGGCACACTTAACCAGCATGGCTACCACAGCATTCTGCAGCGATACGCCATCCCATCTGGTTTGGGCTTAGTGGGACAATCATTGGTTTTCAACAGGTAAATGACCCAACACTCCTCCAGGCTGCGTAAGGGCTATTTGACCAAGAAGGATAGTAATGGAGTGCTGCATCAGATGACCTGCCCTCCACAATCCCCCAACCTCAACCCAATTGAGATGGTTTGGGATGAGTTGGACCACAGAGTGAAGGAAAAGCAGCCAATAAGTGCTCAGCATATGTGGGAACTCCTTCAAGACTGTTGGAAAAGCATTCCTCGTGAAGCTGGTTGAGAGAATGCCAAGAGTGTGCAAAGCTGTCATCAAGGCAAAGGGTGGCTATTTGAAGAATCTCAAATATAAAATATATTTTGATTTGTTTAACACTTTTATTGGTTACTACATGATTCCATATGTGTTAATTCATAGTTTTATTGTCTTCACTATTATTCTACAATGTAGAAAATAGTACAAATAAAGAAAAACCCTTGAATGAGTAGGTGTGTCCAAACTTTTGATTGGTACTGTATATACTTGCATTCTAGTGTTTATTTAACTCTCATCGTAGTTCTTGTGTGGTTTTTATTCATACTTATTCTATTTAGCAGCAAGAGCAGAGGCCTGTCCAGTGCTGAGCTGCCCCTCGGGCACACATTCCACTCTGGTTTATTTTAAGGCAGAGGGATGAGTATACAATAGGGCCCCCCTCCTCCCCCACACAGACATGGAGGAAGAAGAGAGAAAGGACAACCATTTCACACAGCTAAACCAGAGGACGCAGATACGCCCAGCCTCCATCCGTTTACATAGAGACTGTCTGAAGCTGGACTCACAACAGTGACCTAAACCGGGCCTCTGACATGATCCTACACATATCCCACTCTCTCAGACACAAACACTCTGGCACACACGTATGCCGGACATACATACAGTCACATAAAAACTCTAAAAGGAAGTGAAGCGATTTGCAACAGTGGTTACTGGCGGATTTGTGGGGAGGGTGGAAAATGTGAATGGTGAGGAGAGGCTATGGGAAATGAAACGTCTGCATTTGTCAACTAGATAACAACTGTCCGGACTTATGGTCAAAGAAGTCACATTCCATTCTGTCGACAGCATGAAGTGATAGCCTAAATGCTTAGCACAAACTAGGCATAATACCAGTTTGTTAAATTTCTGTTAAAAATATATTGTATGTTTAGCAAAGAAAAAAAGCTATCCTCCCACTCAAAATTAATCGAGGAAAAAGGAAATGCATACTGGGTTGTCATGATACCAGTATCGCGATATTCCGAAGTATCGTGGCAAGGAAACAAAACATGAAGTGGAACATTAATTTCTTGACGAAAACAGTCCCAATATTAGAAACAAACAGCATTATGTTGCCACCTAGAGTCACATTTGTTTATTTTGCTAGCTATATCACTCACAATTTTACATCAAGTGGGTTTTTATAGGACCATAGAGGTTAGTCTAATTCCTGTTTTTATTTTTTTGCCATGGAAAATCTGGTATCATAGTATTGTAATACTGGTATCGTGACAACCCTATTAATATGCATTGCTTACTGTTGTTGTCACATTCCTAAGATGCTTATGATTTGACAAAGCTGTGTGAACATTATCATTTTGCCACACATTCCCCTTTGAAGGTCAAAACTCATCATCTCTACTGAAGTGAGTAAAGAACTGCAGCAAGAAAATGGCTGACACTCACGACAAGCAAAGACACAAAGTGGTTTGTGCAAAGCTCAAACAACTGGTGAAACGTTCTGTCTGATATCCAACTAGGGGAACTACGGCTAGATACTGCATACGAACGTTACAACACTCTCAATACAAAAACACCAGACAAATATTGTGACACTCACCGACTACCATAAGGGTGAACTCAAAGCCCTTTTTGACCGACTTGCGGTGCACCTGGTTGGGCAGGTTGGCAAAGCCCACATACCCTGGCGTCTCTGGGTTGGTGAACTGACCCTGCTGTAAAACATAAGAGACAACAACATGAGCATCTGAGTCATTCGACCCAAGAATACCATCATTTTTACTTTGGCATGGGCAGTGTAAATCACAGCAGCAAAGATTAAAACCGGCAATTAGGCCGCTACTCAAAAGAAACAGCTGTCCACGAATGACCTTTGGGTGAGGTGACTTTGTCTCTGCCATCTCTTTGTGAAAATCATTATTTTCTGAATTCCAGTGTTTATGGCCCTAACAGGCCTCTACGTAACCAGGGAGAATGTGCAGTCCAACCAAAAGGTTTCAAAGTTAGGCCTAAGCCCATCTGTTCAGCTTATAAACAGATGTAAGGAACTGGTCATCTCTGTGTGAGGGAAAAAAGTATTTGATCCCCTGCTGATTTTGTACTTTTGCCCACTGACAAAGACATGATCAGTCTATAATTTTAATGGTAGGTTTATTTGAACAGTGAGACAGAATAAGAACAAAAAAATCCAGAAAAACACATGTCAAAAATGTTATAAAATGATTTGCATTTTAATGAGGGAAATAAGTATTTGAACCCCTCTCAATCAGAAAGATTTCTGGCTCCCAGGTGTCTTTTATACAGGTAATGAGCTGAGATTAGGAGCACACTCTTAAAGGGAGTGCTCCTAATCTCAGTTTGTTACCTGTATAAAAGACACCTGTCCACAGAAGCAATCAATCAATCAGATTCCAAACTCTCCACCATGGCCAAGACCAAAGAGCTGTCCAAGGATGTCAGGGATAAGATTGTAGACCTACACAAGGCTGGAATGACCTACAAGACCATCGCCAAGCAGCTTGGTGAGAAGGTGACAACAGTTGGTGCGATTATTCGCAAATGGAAGAAACACAAAAGCACTGTCAATCTCCCTCGGCCTGGGGCTCCATGCAAGATCTCACCTCGTGGAGTTGCAATGATCATGAGAACGGTGAGGAATCAGCCCAGAACTACACGGGAGGATCTTGTCAATGATCTCAAGGCAGCTGGGACCATAGTCACCAAGAAAATAATTGGTAACACACTACGCTGTGAAGGACTGAAATCCTGCAGCACCCGCAAGGTCCCCCTGCTCAAGAAAGCACATATACAGGCCCATCAGAAGTTTGCCAATGAACATCTGAATGATTCAGAGGAGAACTGGGTGAAAGTGTTGTGGTCAGATGAGACCAAAATGAAGCTCTTTGGCATCAACTCAACTCGCCGTGTTTGGAGCAGGAGGAATGCCTATGACCCCAAGAACACCATCCCCACCGTCAAACATGGAGGTGGAAACATTATGCTTTGGGGTTGTTTTTCTGCTAAGGGGACAGGCCAACTTCACCGCATCAAAGGAACGATGGACAGGGCCATGTACCGTCAAATCTTGGGTGAGAACCTCCTTCCCTCAGCCAGGGCATTGAAAATGGGTATTCCAGCATGACAATGACCCAAAACACACGGCCAAGGCAACAAAGGAGTGGCTCAAGAAGAAGCACTAGCCAGTCTCCAGACCTTAATCCTATAGAAAATCTGTGGAGGGAGCTGAAGGTTCGAGTTGCCAAACGTCAGCCTCGAAACCTTAATGACTTGGAGAAGATCTTCAAAGAGGAGTGGGACAAAATCCCTCCGGAGATGTGTGCAAACCTGGTGGCCAACTACAAGAAACATCTGACCTCTGATTGCCAACAAGGGTTTTGCCACCAAGTACTAAGTCATGTTTTGCAGATCAATTTAAAATGCATATCAATTTATAACATTTTTGACATGCTTTTTTCTGGATTTTGTTGTTGTTATTCTGTCTCTCACTGTTCAAATAAACCTACCATTAAAATTATAGACTGATCATGTCTTTTTCAGTGGGCAAACGTACAAAATCAGCAGGGGATCAAATACATATATATATATATTATTTTTTCCAATGGCTGCAATGGTTTAATTCTAATAAATCCTGATTTGCCAAAGCAGATTCACATCCTGTTTATATAGGCCTAGTCAAAATAAGCTCCCTCTGAAGTCATTATTGGACCGCCTGACAGCATTACTTAGTGAGAGGAAGCAAGCTTACTGAGAGGAAGCAAGCATCCTCTTATCATACTCAGTCGGGAACTTACCTTAATTTTTTCAGCCTGAGACATTTTGAGCTCTTTCAACCTGCCAGAGAACAGAGAACCTTACAGTAAACATGTCAAATGTAAAGTACTATATCAATAGGACTAGCTATTACTTGAAGAGAATGACGACTGTGTACACTAACAAAATGGAGGATAGCCTACCTACATGATTTAGAGGACTGTGAGAGACAGGAAGTCTGCTCTCTGCTCAATGACTTTTCGAAAGAATGTCTAACAACAAAAAACTAACAGCCTTCCCTTCCAAAAACTTTCTTTAGCACTTTCACTTCACAGATGCATGTACTCAAGTTGGTTTTAACTTGAATTCAACTTTCCATTCTGTACTTTTATTTAGCTAGCTAGTGACTTTTATATTACAGTATACCAAAAATAAATTGAAGCTGGAAGTGATATCAAAACTTCATACAGTTAGCTAGCGGGGGGAAGAAATAATTTCATCACAATTCAACTGACAACAGACGGGCCCTTCTGAGGAGGCCAGAGAGAAATTGACATGGGCATCTTTCTTTCAGAGCTAACAGTAGCTAACTGCTCTCTGGACTTTTATTTGTTCAACGCCGAGCAGTGGAAGTCTGAAAAAAAATTAACTGGGTTTTGAAAGCGCTGTCCCAATATCTGAAATACAACTAAATGACATTGCAGTTACCTCAAATATGCCTATCTAGTTAAGTTTACGCTAATAATATCACAAAACATGATTTAACACCTTCAAGCTAGCTAGCAAACAAGTATTTCAAACCGGGCTGTGTAGACAAACTGTAAATTGATTATTCATCTCATGGTTTCAAATGGTAACGTTAGCTAGCTAACACTGACTATTAAACCGGCGAAGTGTCTAAAAGCAAGCTTTGAAAACTTACGTTAGCCAGCCATCTAATTATCAAGTAGCTAGCTACTTTGCTAAAGGCTAGCTTAATACTAACAAGCTATTTGGGATGCGGCAGGAAGTTAAAACGAGGTATCTAATTCGACGAGACAGTTAAATGTGACATGAATATGCCTAATAACTGGCTAATAGATACAATATTTACCGTTTTGATTGTCAGTGAAAGAAAACCTTGTGGGTTTGGAGCATATATACAGTCATTGGTTTGGAGGCTGGACTGGCGAACAACACCTCAAATTCCTGAGCTTCTTCAGCACAGGGACCAGAATGCATTGGGCGTTGACTGTCCTCAAATTGGTCATCAAAAAATGCATTGCTTTTTCTTCGCAATAAAATCGGACACGTAAATCTACTACCAACGATTTTCTTTACAATTTGTAATACAACTGTTATTCATCATCATCATCATCATCATCATCATCGTCATTATCCTCATCACCAACTATAATCATACAGTACTTCAAATCATAAACAAAAATTGACAAAGCAGTGGTCAGTCTGATCCAAAGTCCTTCAACCTTAATTCATAATTAACAGGGATGGGCAACTTTGATTGGGGTGGGGGACACAAAAAATCTGAACTCATCATGAGGGGCCCACATCCATCCCCACCACATTGCTAGCAAAACCTTTTAGTGGCCCGCCCTCCTCTTGACAGCAGAGAGAAAAATGTTTTATCTTTGAGAGTTAATTTCGTGCAATTCTACACGTTTTGCCATGCAGTGTAGGGAAAATGTTGCAGTTTTAAAACATGTTTGCTGCAATTCTATACATTTTGCCATGGGGTGGAACGAAGATTTTGCAATTTTATAACTAATTTCATGCAATTCTACTCATTTTGCCATGCAGCCTGGTCTCATACACTAGACGTAACATAGTAAAGTCAATCCAGGACACTCATAATAATACACACCAGGACACTCAAATGAATATGCATGTTAATTTTGGTGTAGTTACATAAGACAGGAGGTTACTGAAGGAAAAACGAAAGGAAGATGGGAGGGTGAGTGTGTAACACGAATGTCTAGCAACCCAAAGGTTGCATGTTCAAATCTCATCACGGACAACATTAGCATTTTAGCTAATTAGCAACTTTGCAAATACTTATCATGTTAGCTAACCCTTCCCCTAACCTTAACCCTTTTAGCTAACCCTAACCTTAACCCTTTAACCTAACTCCTAACCTTAACCCTAACCGTAACCCTAACATCTAGCCTTGTTAACATTAAACAGCTAGCTAATGTTAGAGTTAGCCACCTAGCCACCTAGCTAACTTTAGCAACAACTAATTCGAATTCGTACCATATCATACATTTTGCAAAATTATTTATATATTTATTTTTTTATAATTCGTAACAACGTAGGAAATTGCAATTCATAACATATTGAACGAATTGCAAATCATAACATATCATACGGAATGGACGCTGGACATCCACAAATTAAGACATCATAGGGGTGGCAGGTAGTTTAGTAGTTAAGAGCGTTGTGCCAGTAACCGAAAGGTTGCTGGTTCTAATCCCCAGGCTGACTAGGTGAGAAATATGTCGATGTGCCCTAGGCACTTAACCCTAAATGCTCCTGTAAATTGCTCTGGATAAAAGTGTCTGCAAAATGTAAATGTAATACGTAACATATCGTACTAAATGGAGTGTTTCAGATTTACCTACAGAATAATACGAAATGCTCTGAGACCAGGTTGGGGCAGAAAGGAATATTTGCTGTGTTACAGCTAATTTCCTGCAATTCTACACATTTTGCCATAGGGTGGTAAGAAATGTTAGCAGTTTTTAATATACTGAGTGAGACTGAATAAAAAAATCAATGGGGGCCCCCCACACGGTAATTTAACCATGATAACAAGTTTAGATAGCTGGCCGCTAAACTAATTAAACAATCTAAAAACAAAATTGCTGACATGGGCTAATTGACTATCAGTGACTGACATAACAAAAAAAAACTGATGATGCACAACCAAATTTCGAAATTGCACCTTGTGTATTCTACTATTCTAACTCGCAACAGT